AAAACGGTCCAAGTGCCCTACTCTTTGATTCAAAGCCTTTCTATTTTGATTCAAAGCCTTTCTATGACTTTGGAGTCGAAATCGCGCTGAGTGCCAACGATTTACACCGGTTTGTATGTACCTCACATTTATTTACATTTTTACTTACGCTCTATTCACATTTACATTAGTTGCTCTCCAATTCTATTCTTCTTCATCTTCCGAGTCAGACTTTGTATTCTACAAAGCCTCAACTGTCATCCGCATTAGGAGTTCTCGCTTCAATCGTATTTGAAAGCGCAAACTACAAATGTAAAGAACTACAAACTGTGAAAGTGCAAACTATAATTGGCAAAGGGCCAGGAGCGCCGCGCGCCACACGCGCCGCAAAGGCGGCCGATGGTTGGGATTAGGACATGCTAGCGGAGTGCAGCGTGTCTGCGCCGCAAGTTGCACTTTAGGCGGAGTATAGAGGAACTACCCTTCCCAGTTCGTGGATCCTACCCCCGCGCATATTCAGACGAGGAAGCCGCCACGCTCGTCTGCTGGGATAGTTGGCCCCGGACAGGTGCCAAGGAAGCGCGTTACAGCTGAGCGTTAGTTGTTGTTGAACGCTACCCTAGGAAACAGATAATGCTTTTGCAGTCGATGAATGAATTGTTGGAATGCATCACCTACTCCACACTCGTTGTGAGCTGCATGGCACTGGAATGCGATACAGCCCATACATTGAGGGTGGGGAGGAGGGAACCCGAAAACCGACATCAGGACCGTATGCATGGTAAGCGCTCAATAAACTTAATGAGATCAAGAGAAGGTACAAGAAATAAACCAGATGCTAACTCAGTAAGAGGGCGATCTAGAGTTAACACAAAAATCGTCTTGGCCTCTAATAGCGCTGCATAATTCGAGTGGCATTCAAAGTGTAGAGAGTTAGTCACTGTTTAGGAATATTTCAAGAAAGAACAACAGTTTCGATGGTTTGAAATAAGCATCTAATTCGCAATTTATTTTTGAATATGTTGCATACCTTGAAATTTGAATCCACCTTGATATAACCATCTGCATCAAGTTGCACATTGGAGTCTTTGAGGAAATCTGTTGGTGGACGGGACCCTTAACTTCCGTCATGTATACAAACTCATCTCGGATTCGTGCATATTCAGAACTCTCGTAGATACGAGGGCTGCCTTTTATATTTCGGGATTCGGCAACCCCAGTGTTGCAATGGCAGCTGACAGCTCTATCGTAAAGTTTGACCTTTTTGAGGTTATACGTACTCAGAACATTTTGACATTTGAGCGCTCTTTGTGTTGTTTACACTAGCTTAAACTATTTTGGTCGGCCGTTGGTGAGGACAACATGTTTGGTTTTCAACGCGAACAAATTTTTTTGACAGTCAAATGTTCATGCAATATTGAATGTATGCTGGTCCCCTTGAAGCTTAAGGTTGTCTCGGACCAGCATACATTCAATATTGCATGAACATTTGACTGTCAAAAAAATTTGTTCGCGTTGAAAACCAAACATGTTGTCCTCACCAACGGCCGACCAAAATAGTTTAAGCTAGTGTAAACAACACAAAGAGCGCTCAAATGTCAAAATGTTCTGAGTACGTATAACCTCAAAAAGGTCAAACTTTACGATAGAGCTGTCAGCTGCCAGATTGCAACACTGGGGTTGCCGAATCCCGAAATATAAAAGGCAGCCTACGTATTTGAAATTGTGAAATCCTCAGTGGGAGGGACATATTCCAGACAACGCAAGGTAGCGAACTGTTGTAGCTCTTTCCAGGATGGCCAGATCCCTGGCATTTACCTAGTCAAAGAAGCATGAGAAACTTCTAACGTCACCTATTCGTTTCGCTCGCTCTGCTATGCCACTGGCGTATTCCTAGCGCACCCGCGTAGACAAGATGCAGACAGTCGGTACATAAGCACTTAGATTTTAGAAATTTGGAATGAATTCCGCACCAACTCCGATCACGACCACATCTGCTGGCACAATTTCTCCTGACAGCAATTGGACGCCGCTAACGTGATCTGCTCCTACAAACCACGCTGTTGTGGCGTTCACGAGCACCCGCACTCCATTTTTCTCGAAGAACTGAAAATAGGTTTATGAGGCAGGAACGAAACAAGGATCATTATTGGGCTGCAAAGAAAAACATTAGCATTGCAGCATTCGTAAGCATGATCCGAATCTACACTAGATATCCCCGAAATTGTGGTCGTGTCTCTGTTCGACACATAACAAAATGACTGTTGTCTCAAGCTTAATCTCCCACGAGTAACCCATTTTGTGCCAATTTCAAATGCCACGCCTACCCCGTTTCAGAGATAAGATCGTACATGCCTTCTACTCCCGAGAGAACTAAACTTAGGCATGGCTCTCTGGGGAGTAGAAGGCATGTACGATCTTATCTCTGAAATTGTCCGCAAAAAAAATTTGGCAGAAAGCTTAATGACTTTTTGAGGACAGTGAGAGAGCGGTATCGGCATCTTCTCAATCACGCAAAAGCGTGCAAGTACAGTCCTCTTCATTGCAGACCGGTGGGACGGGTGAGCCGCGTCACGCGCAGCGCGGCTCACCCGCCCCACCGGTCTGCAATGAAGAGGACTGTAAACGCTGTTTGACACAACTGAGAATTCCCATATGTTAGTTCTGATCTTACATCAGCACCTCTAGTTTTGGTCAGTCAACCATCCGCAACGGCTTTTCTGCTCCAGATGGATTTCACATAGGGAACCGTTCAAATCATTCAGGAATCAGGTCAGTTGTTGGCCCTGACCGCGAAGAAACCCGCGATCTATGAAGCCTTTACTTCTTTCCAAATTGGCATCATTTCTAAGAGCTCCTCAGAGGTCTTCAATCAAAAGCATCACTTTCGAAAGCTTTCGTTTTCCGAAATGTCACTTTCCCGCACCCCTTCGTGAGCAAGCATTTTTCGCTCACAAGTGGGGTGCGGGAGTAGAAGACAGCAAATTTCAAGACATGTTTACCTTTCTGACAGTGGTACCAACATCAGTTCCTAGAACGAGCATTGGTTCAGTTGTGTCGCATATAACAGTCATGTGTGCCGCTGTTTCGACAAGCGTGGCGGCGATCTCCATTGCTGTAAAAAGAAAAACAGCATCCCTCCCTAGCATTTTTTTATCGAAATGGTTCGGAATGGAAAGCGTTTCTTTGTCGTTTCTGTGCTGCGACCTATAAACTGAGTAAACGGGTCACAAGGTGTTGAAGCAAATTGCGGTCAAGCATGGCATTGTGAGGGTTGGCCGTTCTTCTTTCAGAAAGTGTGAGACACCAGCTGATGCGAACATTCGATAAACTTCAGCTGTTTCTTGCTCAGTGACGGATGTGAATTCTGCACAGTGCTGTATTGCTCGCACTGCGGGCGTCCACCAATCGCTCACAGCATTAGATCAGAAAGTTTTCAATGATGCAGTAAGGTGGAGGCTTGGTGGTGAGCTGTGAAGCATAAGCGAGGAATCGCATACGTCGAATCGAGTCGTGGTGGTTCAGTGGTAAGGTTCGACGTTCGACGACTCGATTCGACGTATGCGATTCCTCGCTTATGCTTCACAGCTCACCACCAAGCCTCCACCCTACTGCACCATTACAAACTTTACCTGCTCATAAGTTGCTTGTGAAATGCAGTTTTGATATCTATATTTGTAAAGAACCTTATAGATTCTATTGATCTTCAAACCTCTCCATGCAAAGTTGCAGGGACGTTGGCGGACTTCCCTGGTCAGCGATTTGATGGTTTGCTGCTATTGGACTTGATTAGAGCCTTCACCATCCGTGGAATCAACTCCACAGGAGCTTCAGGAGTATACACGGAGATTCCACTTCAAATGTCTTTAAATGTAGGGAACTTCTCATTTGTGTTAGTAGTCTTTCCTTTGACTCATACTTCGTGTCATCTCAAAGACGACTGATGGGGTTGTAGTGAAGGCTTTGCTCGGTCTTTTGTTATCCGGGTGCTGGCCCTGGGTGTCGGAACCTAGATCACGTACTTTTCTGTTTGATTAGGGTCGTTTTTACTGATTCGAAAACAGTCCTTCCGTTCGTTCTCGTTCCGGCTTTCTTTATCAACTATATTCACAATACTTCGATACACAAGTCAGGGAATCGTATAACTTCATAACCACTAACTCTGTGTGTCGGTTTCGGTATGACTGTATCTATGATGTCCGTCCGCCAAATATGAAGCTCGAAGGGTTGCAAACACGTCAAGTGTAGGAGAGGTCACGACACTAGCCGGTGCGGAAACCGTTGGCAGATGTATCCAATCCCCAATGCTTTGATTTGATAAACACCCTGCACTATATAAGAGAACCATGTAGTGCACTCCAAACCATTGCACGAGCTGCTCGCGTGGCAGGTGGACGTGAGCACGTGCGGCCGGGATGGGAGTGGGTGGGGCACAGAGTGGGAGTGGGAGGTATAATGTGAGTGGGTGGGTATTAGTAAGGAGATACTGGAGGAAGATTAGAGTGTTTAGTAGAAACTCATCACAAGTGTGGTAATAAAAGCGCCAATGAAAGCGATAAGGTGAATAGAGGAAGGATCAACCGCTAGCAGAGTCGCGAATAAAATCATGTTTTGGTATCACTTTGAGGCAATGTGTGATTGTTTACAACCTCACTATATAAAAGAATCATGTAGTGCACTATAAGTGAGCTCTCGTATGAAAATATTGGTCAAAGATTGTTGACTATCTGTATAAAAGAAAAGCCGGTGAGGAAAAGATAAGCGCGGCGGAGCCGGGCCCGCTCAGCAAATCCAGTCTTGCAACCTTTATCTCAGAGGAAGGCGTGCAGGCTAGTAATAGCTTGATTGAGAGTTCCGATTTTTTGGCTTGTTCAAATTTTATTTCCGCAGCTGCATTTTGTTTCCTTTTTACGTATTACTGTATGTTTTCACTGAGAAGTGTTTGAACACCTGCTGGAAGACCAAACTATGCAAAAAAGACATGACCTGTTACTGTGTTCACTGTTCACCAACGTTTCGCGCGCGTTGTCGCATGCGGCTGTGCAAAATGTGCCTTATACCCCATAGAATAGAATAGAATAGGGTATTACATTTGCTTATTGTGAGAGCCAGCGCCCGTGGAAAGCGCTACAGTATGTTTAGCCGACCCCAAGTTTAGAAGAGTGAAATTCGAATCCAAGTTACTGCTAAAGAAGGAATTTTGCGGCATAGGTTCCTTTTCTCGCGTTCATTCGAAGAAATCACGACACTGTCCTTCTGATTATGCATTGTGATGACGTGTTGCATTTAAAGCCCATCCGTCAACCGCCTTCCATATCCCGAATAGATTCGATAACAGACTTTAATCGTACCTACGCAAGATCCTCCGACACAGACGACTTTCTTACCAGTACAGAAAGCAGAGATGCTGCTGGCATCAGATGGAACACGAAATGAGAAGATATTCTGAATCGGATGATTTCATTCAGAAATCAATAGAGGGTGCCAGGAAGCTGTGAATATATGTTTGTTTATTTATATATGTATTTATTTGTTTGCATGTACATTATATGCATTGCATTTTTGTTACTTCGAATATACACACTAACCGAAAGGACTGGAAGTGGCGTAGGTAAGCGGATTAACATCAGTTACGCGACTATAGTGTATACACCAGGGGTAGTAGAGGCCTACAGATTTTGTAGAGCTGCAATAATAAGTACCGGCGTGGCAGCACCGCGAGCGAAGGTAAGCGCTTTGTGAGTCCCCTGCTTCGTACTATCTTTCTACCCAGGTGACCCCGGTGCTCAGATGGCCTAAGCGGAGAAATTGAGCCCCCTTCGGCACGACAGACCGCTACCAAGAGAACAGGCCGGCATACTGAGGTGCGCCAATTTACCAGAATTTTGTGGTTTTGGTGGAATCCGCGCCACTGCGTAAAGCATTTCTGCAGAAAGTCTACTGCAGTCAATGCTTTCGTAGAACAGGTGCACGACACGACAGGTGCACAACCGCGAGAGAGCGAAGACTGCTTACACTTGCAGAACGTGACGTTCTTATTTGACACTTTCCAATGGCGAACTATCATAGCGCATTAATTTCTTTCGTTGTGGCACTTCATGTTCCAAACGTTGATTAGTCGCGGGTTCTGTCGCACGCATTTCTCAGGCATTCGACAGAACCCGGGATGGTTCAGGTCCTGCGATGCAGCGGCGACGACGCGCTGTGATGCGCTGTAACGCTCGTCGTCGCAGTTACAAGAGCAGTCCAAAGCTAGAGAAGCGAACGCAGCCGTAGACGCGCCCACCGATGTCGTTTGCAAACGTACGACTGACGGGCCCTGACCGCTAGTGATTTAAAAGAGGTGGTGGGGGGCTGCATGGTCGATGTAGTAGGAGATATTGTCAAGTTACGCAGACTGGTATCGATTGGCAGTGGTCGTATGCAGCCGCGTTAGCGTTTATAGCTTTGGGGAGCTGTTGTTATTGTAGCTCGTAGTCGCGTGTTACAGCATATTATGCGTCATGACGAAGTTGAACCTTGCATTATAGGTGCGCTGTCTTCTTTGTGCTCATGTTCACAACAAAATAGTTTTGATTGAAAAACAGGTGAAAAAGTTTTGAGTATAGGTCCAAACGGACGTTCTGTGACCTCGAAAACATGATATACCACAGCAGCGCCTCACACACCTTCAGGTCAGCGCCTGGAATATCCAGCTTCTTTGGTTGGGCACTGAGAGCCAAAACAAGCTTACTGAATCGCAGCCTTTTCGAAGTAGACAGCCCCAGGCTATGGCGACTTGCATCAATGTTATTGACCTGAATGATTCACTTGCTTTTCTGCAACAGATTTTTTGACATGAAAACCTTTACAAAATAACAAAAATCTACGAGTAGTCAAAGGTATCTCTCTAACTGAGCCTGCCCTGGTTGGAATTAGGCTTCTTTCACTTTGCTTATAGATGCTTGGCATTACCCGGGTCTTCGAAAATGGGCAGCGATATTTGGCTGCCAAAACTACTTGACATTTAAGAAAATCGCTCTTGGAATGAGATTTTATGACTCCGGTGAACTACGAGGCCTCAAACGTCTACTTTATAGACGTTTCCGTTGTGCGTTATTCGGAAGTAATTCCCAGTACAATCCGCTACGTGTTACGACAAGCCGTATAGGTCGTAGCGATCGACACTCCATAAGGTCATTCCGCGATCTTCTCGACTTTGACGTCGTGATGCGCCGACGACGAACAGACCTGTCCACTGATCGGCGAACAATATCCTATTAGAAAACCAAATAAC